AGTGCGAACCCCCCTGGCAGATCTTCCAATTAGCCAAGATGGGCAAGGGTCGAGTGTAGTGGTGGTAGAACGGACAGATCCAAGCACCCTGTCCACATCTTCAAGTCTCAACAATTGAAACTCATCCATTAATATTTGACCTAAGCACGGCACACTGGTGCTGTTGTATCTCCCTGTATGAATCTTCTCAGATCTTAAGATCTTCAGCGGAGGCCCTTCTTTCAGTCTCACTGCCTTCAGAGGCGTATCTGGTGGAAATATGCAAGAAGGCCTTCTCTCTCTCTCTCTCTCTCTCTCTCACACACACACACACACACACACACATATCCTTCCAGTGACAGGTGAAGGTTGTCTTTTTCAGACAGGTTTTTAGCAACTAATTGGGCATTTATTTCATTTTCCATGCTTGATGTTACTATTATTTTATGTGTGTTTAAAGGGTTTAAAAAACAATTTTAACAAATTGTTTTAATACTGTTATATGCTTAATTTTTTTTAATGTCACAAAACACTGTGGGCTTAGTTGGTTTGTTGTTGTTTTTTTTTATCAACTTGTAAACTGCATAAGATCCCTTAACTGGGAGACAGGCAACATAGAAAAGTAAACAGTTTAGGTCCTTGATACCTGTCGGAATGTCTCTCCTACAAAACCTGTCCCACCTGCTCTTCACAGTTCATAATGCTAAAAGAGGTAACACCAAAGGAGGTCAAAAGAGTGGCTATCAGGAACTGGGCTTTTTTGGTTGTGGCCCAATACCTCTGGAATAAACGTCTAAGAGAGGTTCGTAGGGTGCCTTCCATCTCAGTTTTTAAGAAATTAGTTAAAACAGAATTACTTAAAGCTGCTTTTTATTAGTCTGTTTTACCAGAGATGTTTCAAGTTGCTTATTTAAGATAGGTTTAGTTAGCTACAGTGCTTTTATTGATGTTATTATATTTATTTGTATTGTGTGTGTTTTTTTTCTTTTATGTGATTTAGTATAATTATGTTGTGAACGACCCAGTGAGTGCTTGCACTATGGGATGGTATACAAGTTGAATAAATAAAAGGAAAGAAACATTCTAACTTATAATATTAAGCAACCATTAAGAAATGCTTAGCAAAATTACCAGTCTCCCCTCCCTGCCACTTGAGACAAAAAGGGTTTTCATTTGGGTTGGGGAACATAACCAGACTGCTTTAGGTTGCTCATTGACTGGTTCCTTCTCTATCAGGTAATGAAACCATCTGCTCACCCAATGTCTACATTGAATGTGCTGATCACACACTAGGTAAGTCCTTCTGAAACTACTGAACAGCTGATTAGGGGATTGCACTAGGAAAGAATCTCAGACGTCGGTTAAAGTGTAGTGCAGCCCCTTGTACCTTTTGGGAGCAGATTTGTGCTTTGGATGTTTAGCTAGAAAGCAAGGTTGGAGAACTGCTGGCCCTGGCCTGATTCTGCCTAGGTGCTGTGAGCCCCCCCCCCCGCTTCCAGATTTGTGCAAAGGAATTCCTGCATTTGGAATTGTCTAGTGGGCAACACTTAAGATTTTGGATGCTTTCTTCCAGTTTGCATGATGCTCACCCTTTGAACTGAGCCATGAAACCTCGTTTCATAGATTGTCATTTCTAAGGATGTACATAGGAAAATATTCCATGATTCATTCATTCCAGGTTCTCCCTCTGCCTCTGCCTCTCTCTCTCTCTCTCTCTCTCTCTCTCTCTCTCTGTGTGTGTGTGTGTGTGTGTGTGTGTGTGTGTGTGTGTGTTGTGCCTCATTAGTTTTTGGATCATTAGGTACCGACTTGTTTGTCTGTCTGTTTGTCTATTTGCTTGCTTGTCATTTAAAATATTTTCATCCTGCCGTTCTCCCCAATCCTTTTGATAAACCTGAAATCCTTTTGATAAACGTGACTTTTTCAGATCCTTTCAGCTGGGCTGGGGTTCTGGTGCTTCAAAAGCAAGGAGAGGGAGGGGAAAGACCAGTTGTGGCAGTAGAGGAGGCAGTGGCAGGAGAACAGAGGGGAGACCCAGCTGGCAGAAAGGCGGTGAGGATGAGGCAACAGAAGGAGGAGAAAGACTTTACATACGTGGATCAAGTGGAAGTAACATGGTAGAGGAAAGGTGATAGAAGTATGAACAATTCAGGACCCTTCCTTTTAGGAATCCAAAATTATTGGATTTCAGATGCTCTCTGCTGGACTGAAATTGAAATAAAAAGCCCCTTTCTTGGGTCCCAGCCCTAGACAATGGATGGGTGGCACTTTTCAGTGTTGTTCTAATCTAGGGGATCCCTCTCTTGCCTGACGTATGCCTCTATATTCACAGATGCAGCTGTGGAAGATTCCCAGGAGCGCTGTGTATGTCCCACACCCTGCAATATGACACGCTACGGCAAGGAGATCTCGATGGTGCGCATTCCCAACAAAGGCTCGGCCCGGTACCTCGCGCGCAAGTACAACCGCAATGAAACCTACATCCGGTGAGTGTCTCCTTCCTCCTGTGTTGTACAGTCCCATCCAAAGGCTAAGCGGATGGGTGGGCCTGCAAGGGTGTGGAAGACAACCCCCCCCCCGAGACTGTAATCCACAGAAGGGGTAGTGTGTGGGGATATATGCGAGAAAGCTCAGGCTCTGGATCCTTCTCTATCCTCTCGTTCCTCTTCCCTATGCTGTCAGGGAGAACTTCTTGGTGCTGGACATCTTCTTTGAGGCATTGAACTACGAGTCGATTGAACAGAAGAAAGCATACAACCTGGCGGGGCTTCTGGGTAAGTGAATATATGCAGCTCTTCCCTTATGGCCACCATCCTTACTTTAAGGCTTGGTCAAAATTGCCAATGGCCGGTGAGGTGGCGTGTCCTTACGTGGCCAGGCAGCGGCTACGTTGGCTGTGGGATTCTGGGTACTGTACTCCGAAATGGGAACATTCCCAATTTCTGGGGCAAGTGCTCTGGAGACGAAGTAGGATTTGAGGAGAGAAGACAAGGATTCAGGCAGAGAAACAAGCAGATACATAGGCATGTACTGTCTGAAAGCATCTCGGTCTTGTTTCAGGATTTGTTTCCTCAGGATGAGGCGCACTGCCAGGCCCATGTCCAAGACTTCATAGCAGGGCTGGGCAACTGTAGCCCTCTGGATGCTGTAAGGGGGGGGCAGTGCCTCTTAGTCTGAGCCGGCATAGCTGGGAATTTCAGTCCTATAACTTCTGAAGGGCCACCATTGGCCACCACTACTTTGTACTGTCTGTACTGTTTGGTGGTTCCTTATTGGTCCCTTTTATCATCTGTCAGCTTTGGCTGCACGAATGCCTTCTAACCTCCATTATTGGTGGCACCTCGGCACAGTGAAGAGCAGCCCAGCAGCTCATTCTTTTGGCAAGTCTCTGTAGGGATGCAGCAGGAGCAGGCACCAGCTTGTGTCCCCAAGCACACCCTGATTCAAGAGCTATAGCATGTTTGCACACGAAGCAGAGTGACCTCTGTCCCATCCTATTTCAGCTTCTCTGCCCATTCCAATTAGAACCCTTCTCTTCCAGGCTGGGGGCCTTGAGAAAAACTTCCTGAGCTGTGGGAGAGAATAAGAGAATGGCCTCAAGGAAAGAAGAGTGGCACCAACCTCTCTGCCATTCATAGTCTTACCTTTCTCCAGACCGCCAATTAAATCAGCACCTCTCCTGCACTATATCCCTGAGGGATCAACTACAGCTTTTAAAAGTTACTTTTTTGAATGGTAGCTGCCAGAATCCCCCAACCAACATGGCCGTGTCCAAAACAGGGGCTGTGACCTCACCTCTTGGACTGGCTCTTTCTTTCCACAGAGGAAACAAAACAAAAACAACCCCCCACACACGCACACAGACACACACACAAAACCCCACCTCCTTCCCTCCAAGGAGCTCCATTGGTGGCTTCCACACCGATTTTCTCTTGCCCTAACCATCTCCTTTTCTGCTAGGGGACATTGGAGGCCAAATGGGCCTGTTCATTGGAGCCAGTGTCCTCACAGTCTTGGAAATCCTTGACTACATCTACGAGGTGAGTAGGACCAGCCCTCCTGTTAGGCAGAGTGAGGTAGCCACCTCAGGCAATAGATGTTAGGTGCCATGAAAGGAAAGCAAATGATTAGTTCTTTTATTTGGTATAATTGAATTGGTGGGGGGGTAGTGCTTGTAGCTTCATGTGGTGAAATGACCTGGCCCGCTTTCGGCACTAGGTCCCTTGAATGATGAGGAGGCTGCCATTTGCTATTCTGCCTCAGGCAGCAAAGTGTCTTCGACAACCCTGGAGGTAAAGGCATGCCTGGGAAAGAATAGATCATGACATGTACTGAATTGTGGTCAAAGGCTTGAAACCAGAGTTTTCCTATTGAACACCGAGTGTATCTATATTATACGGTTGCAAAACTTCTTCATCTATCCTGGCTTCATCCTATGAGATCCTGGGGTTTGTTGTTTGATGATGTGCTTAGAATGCTGTGCCAGAGAACTCTAGTGCATTGTCCTGAACTGAAGCAGAAAAGTCTCATTACATCACCAAACTACAAATCAATACCATTAAAATAGTATTGAACTGCTGTAACCTTTTAGTGTCGCTACTAAATGCATAGAGACACAGCCCTCCTCTAAACACAGATACTGTTCTGCTTTTCCCTAAGCAAGAAGTGGGAAACCTGTGGCCCTAAAGTTCTTGATGGACTCTGGTACCCATCATTTCCAGTTAGCATGGCCAATGGTCAGCAATGATGGAGTGATTGCAATGCAGTCCAACAATAGTTGGAAGGCCAGAGGTTCCCCATCACATCCCTAAGCTAGTAATAACTTAGGGCAATGTTTTCCAATCTTGGGCCCCCAGATGTTCTTGGGCTACAATTTCCAGAAATCCTAGCTAGCACAACTAGTGAGGAAGACTTCTGGGAGTTTTAGTCCAAGAACATCTGAGGGACATAAGGTTGATAAGGTTGGGAACCACTGATGAGTTCCCAGTGTCCTTAGTGGCTGAGGCATTGTGAGAGGTGCAGTATAAAAGGTCACTTTTCAATCTTGGGCAATGTTTGTAGCATATACACTTTGTGCCATAAAGAGGTACACAGATTTGAATTCCAGCATTGCTGCCATTTATCCACATTTCTCTTGCTGTGCCCCAGGTGATCCGTGACAAAGTGGCCCATGGCCTACGGCGCACCAAGCCTCCACTGAAGAAGCCTTCAGGCAGCATTGCCACCTTGGGACTGGAGGAGATCAAAGAACAGGTATATGTATGTGCATGCGTGCATGTATGTCCCTTCTTCACCAGACTAGTTTCTGCAGGTTTGCAAGACGAAGATCTCAAAATGAAGCAGAGACATCTTTGTAAGCAAATGCAATTGTTTTTCAGCTTTGAACCCAGAGGTGGGTAGGAGAGGGAGAGAGAGGAGAAAGAGAGAGAAAAGAGGACAAAGCCCTAACATTTTTGCATATTAAGATGTATGCTCTTTTGGTAGATCTTCACAGTACCTACTGAGATCAAAAACAGTGTGGGCAACTTATATTTTAAGCTTTATTTGCTTGCTTGCTTATTTATTCTTTCATAACCGCAACACAGATAAATCTCTCTAGGCATACAGATTAATCATCATCATCATATGCTGTCAAGTCAGTTCTGACTTGTGGCAGCCCTTCTCAGAGTTTTCCAGGTAGAGAGTGCTCGGAAGTGGTTTACCATTCCTTTCTTCTGGGGGCGCCCTGGGACTGTGTTGCTTGCGCCAGGCTACACAGGCTGGGTCTTCTCCCAGGAGGCACAGTGGGGAATTGAACCTCTGGTACGTGGTGATCCATTTCACTGGGCTACTCAGCAGTGTTTTACAGACGCTGCTAATATTGTTATGTATATAATACATATGTAAATTTCACAATAACCTTTTGTTGGAAGAAGATGTACATATTTATACATCAGCTGTGGTGTGGATTGTGTATATCTGAGGCGTGTGTGTGTGTGTGTGTGTGTGTGAGAGAGAGAGAGAGAGAGAGAGAGAGAGAGAGAGAATTTATCTGGGGAATTGTATGCTGTTTCCTAGTATCTTTAAGTTGGATGGGACTCTGTGTTTGTGTGTATCTGTAGATGCATGTATGTGTGCATGCACACAAACATTTATATTGGACATAGTTGAGGTGAGTAAGGCTACTTCCAGAAATTCCAGAGACAGGATTTCAGCCTTTCCTAAGAGCCCATTGCAATAAATACTGGGAATTTCTTACAAGACCATCCTAGCAAAGGACAATTTATAAAATACATAATCCCACAGTATACTCAATGAGCAAAAGACCTTTCTTACTCAGCCTGAGTGTCTCAATACTGGAGATAGTTTATGTGCAAGAAATTTATTGTGGCCAAACAAATAACATGCTACAGCTTAATGGGAAGCCAGCTGTGAACATGCAGTTGGGGGAAACTGTTGGCTTAACCATATGCACCCCTCCCCCCAAAAAAAACCTATATATTCTGCCTGTTTTTGTAATGGTTGATGTGATCAAATTTGCAAAAAAAAAAGTTACAACTGCCTTTGAAAACGAAGTGCAAAGGGAACATAGACCTTGTTTGAATGAACAGTCACATTCCAGGAAGCTTCCAGGAGCAAAAATAAATAAACAAATAAATAAAAAAAAACTGGTTTAAAGCAGGAAGTGTGCTTCTCTGCCCCTTCCTTCCTTTTTGGGTGGGGTGGTGGTTGGTGGTGATTCGGTGCCAAATTCAGCACTCTCTCCTGGCCCCAGGAAGTTGCTTTCCCATCAAAACCTGTTACTGTCTCAACAATTTAGCGGTGATTTTCAGGAAAATTATCTCAGGGACTGTGGTGCATCCAGCACACATGCACAGAAGTACACACAACTCAGAGAAATTCTGAAGAAAAAGTAGAAAGCTGATAGAATCTTAATCAAGAGACCAAGATGATAAATTAAAGATGCAAGCAGGGTTGCCCCCCGAAACAATTTCTGGAACAAAAATTGACCTACAGTAGTGAATGGTTAATGAAGCAAATTAGCGAGGAAAGGAAAGTTGGCAGGATATGACTGAGCAAGCAAATCTAATCTATAATAGTAGCTACATACTCTAAAGACATGGGTAGCTGGCAGAAGATGTGGCTCATGCTCTACTGCCATAACTCTATTTAGCTTTAAATCAGGGAGCCAAGCAGTTTTAACACTGCACACATGACAATATACTAAAAGAAAGAAGGGCTCTAATATCAGAAGGTGGCTGTTTGCTCACCTATGAGCAGGAGCCATTTAGAGATCACCCCGTTAAAAAGATGCAGATAAATGTCAGACCTCAAGCAAAGTGGAAGCCGATAAGGCTGCTTAGCAATGGAAAGAGTGGGCTGGGAATATGTCAGATATCAATACAAGCTGGTTGTTGTTTTATGGAAGCCAAATAAAGATCCAGAATTTTAAAATTATTATTATTCTTCCTAGTCAGGGACCTAACCCACTGACAGTGCTCCCCTCACAGGCTGAGCAGTCGGTTCAGCTGGTGTACATTCAGCTGTCTTTTTCCTGGGGGAGAATGAAACAGACTGGAAGGAGAACTGAATGGGTTACCCCAGCTAGACTGCTGGGCGTGGGGGGGGGTTTGCAGAGAGAGCAGAACTGAGCAGATTTCTGGAGACCTTTGGTTCCATAGATCAGGAAAAAAAGCATATGAAAAAAATGCCCTTGCATTTTTTGTGTGTTCAACTGTGTGGAGCAGCATAATTCAAAAACTACATTTCACTTTATTAATCACATTCCATAAAGGGTGCTTGAGAGGCAAGGTTCTCCCTGCCCTTTGCTCTCCACTCCAACTCTGGCATCAGTATATCTTTCTCATTTTTCCCACTCCAGGAATTAGAGTAGAAATAAAAGGGAATGTGTTGGGACTCAAGGGCATTTTTAAGAAAACTTGTTTGAGCTGGGGGGGAAAAAAACTGATTTAAGACCTAAAGGGG